TGCGGTCTTCATGATTGACGTCATGTGTGCAACCCAATCATCCAGCGCGACACAACTCGTGTCGGGGTGCATCTGTAACGGTCGAAGAAAGTCCGCAGGAACACGAGGGTGATAGCCGAGGTCGCAATAGTAAGGCGACATCCCCGTGGCTGACGAGACGGCGTGGTTGTAGGCTATCTCCGCGTGGGCAAGATGAAGATCCCACTGCTGGTCGTCAGGAACAATCTTTCGAAGAATATCTCCGAGAGTCCTGTTCATGATCTCGGTCTGACCATCAGTCTGAGGATGGTAAGACGAGGAGAAGCGGAGCTGAGTGCCGTACACCTCGTGGAGCCGTCGCCAGAATCGGCTAGTAAAGCGCGGGTCATTGTCATATATGATGCTCAGAGGTAAGCCGTGATCACGCACGACTCGGTCAAATACGATGTCAGCGACCTCACGTGCACTGATGGCATAGCGGCACAGGACAAAGCGTGCACGCTTCGTGAAGCGGTCGACGGCGACCAGGATAGCATCATGACCGCGAGGGGTCGGAGGACGAAGAGGACCGATAAAGTCCATCGTGATGGACTGCCAACGACCCTCAGGGATAGGAAGAGGCTGGAGCAAACCATAAGGYAGGTGGTTCGCACTGTTCACCTCCTGACAGGTGGGACACTCTGCGRCGTAGTCCTTCACAAAGTCCTTGCGCTTTGGCCAGACGTACAGGCGGCTCATACGAGCCAACGTCTTGTGGAAGTCCATATGACCGACAACTGCCTGGTCATGGAACTCTGCTACTGCTCGGACACGTAGCTGTCCAGTGGAGGGAACGCAAATACGGGGCTCTCTGGTGCCCTGTGAACCGTGCCAGTACACAAGACCGTTGTCCCCGAGAGAGTAGTTCGGGACGGTCTTGCCACTCTGAAGGGTCGCGTGGATGTCGCGATAGTCGGGGCAGTGGCGGTACTGAGTGCGAAACTCGTCAATCACCGAGTGGTGGATGGTGATGACCGAGATGGAAGAGAGCTGGATGTGCTCCTGGTCGTGGTCAGGGCGCCGGGATAGGGCATCTTCGACCCGATTAGTCTCACCCTTGATGTGCTCAGTGGTGAAACTAAACTCGGATAGGTTGCGCCACCAGCGAGCCTGTCGAGGAGTGAGCTTCRGCTTTGTCAGAAAAGCCTGGACAACAGAGTTGTCCGTGCGCACCGTGAATGTTGCCCCATGCAAGTAGTGACGCCAGTGCTGAGCGGCATAAACTACTGCGAGAACCTCACGTTCATCATCAGTGTAGTTTATCTCGGCGGGCAGGAGCTGACGGGAGTAGAAGGCTATCGGACAATCACCTGAGCGAGACTCGACAGTGCCGTCCTCGGCGATGATAGGAGAATAGTCAATAGAAGGCTCGTCAGTAGCTGGGCGAGTAGGCGTCAGTCGGGAAGCAGTGGTAGGGGTAGGTGGTGGGAAGCGAGGGATACGAGGATGAGAGGAATCAGGAGAGGAGGGGAAGACTTGAGAAAGCACTGCTCCTACAGCGAAGTCTGACGCATCGGTGGTAAGGATAAAAGGGCGGT